TCGAAATCAGCTATAATTTCAAATGATCGGTAAATGATCGGCAAGTGGTCGGATATTTTTTGGAGGGGAGTGTACAAAGGATTATTGATATTTACGGATGTTTGACCAAATTTTAATCTAAGAAATAAAATTTTGAAATCAATGATTCAATAATAAATCAAATTAAGAATGTATGTATGAAACCAAGTAAATATCATAACTAAAGATTTTGTTTCGTCATGGAATACCTTCAAGTCCTTTTGGTATTTTATTTCTAACATGTTAGTAGCAAAAATAATGATTATGCAAACCTTTTAATGTTAAGATGTTTCAAATTTTGGCTTTTTAAATATGTTGTATTTTTATTTTATTATTTTATTTACAAACTTCATTTGTCTGTCAGTCTCTGTTATAGACAGCCGAAAATTTTTTCCTTATCCAGAACATTATTCACGGTCCCGGTTAGTCAACCAGTTAAGGTTTTTAGGCCGCTTCCAATGGAAATTAGTTTTGTCACAGATCCTTACAAGATGTATATTTATATCGTATCGAAACTAAATCATGGTTCATCAAAACAATATCGTTACCAAATCTTACAAGAATAAATTTATTACACCAATTCATTTTTTATATAAAATTATATTCATAAACTTGAACGAACTTTATTAAAAGGGTGACCTATCAAAAATAATTTTGTGCGTCAAATTTGATTTAAATAATAATAAAGAATAAAATAAAAAGATTGAAATTTAATACATTTCCAGATTATTGGCAAAGTAAAAATAATATATTTAGCTTTACAGCCCCTCATAATCCTCAACATCGTTAAAGATGTTTTCTATAGAAATTTCAGGCCATCGATGAATAAGGAGACTGCTTAATCCAACATATTAAGAACTTTGAGAAAAGCGCTAAACCACCGTTCTTGCTTTGATGCGGAGTGGAGGTGTGCTGGAATTATTAGAGAGTTGATCCGAAAATCCTCTAAAGCTTCCGACATGGAGTTTGGTATCCTCAAAACAGTATAATAAATTACTCGCTTCATCTGGCTTAAAAATAACAGTGCAGTGATATCAGGATAATTACAACAATCGGATTCATAAATCAGGATTCTCGATTTACCGAAACGAGAAGTGCTAGTTGTGAGAAATCTAGAATTACAATCCTTGCTAGTAGTATGTGATAAAGATCCTCGTAAGCTTTCCTTGCATAGAGTTTATGTCTTTAATCACCGCAAGCGGTTTTTTTAGGATGTATAATCACATTAGAAGACATTAGCAGCTCTTCTTCAAACACTTCTTCCAGACCTTTTTCCAGCACTTCTTTCAGCATTTCTTTTAGCTCTTCCTCCGAACTTTCTCGTTCTTTCTACCCAGGTATATTACCAAAACGCGGTAGGATATTAGTGTTCTACAGCAAATATTCTGATCCGTTAAAAATTTTAATAGTAATGTTGCAAGACAAACCTGGAGGTTTCGACAAGTCGAAATCGAAACTCGTCAAAATCCATTGAAATCCCGACGTCGAAACCCATGAAATCGAAAGGGTTTCGACTTTTTCAAAATGGAATTGGATTTTTCTCCGCAATCTTATTTGACAGCAAACTTTAATTACAAATTTACATCCTAAAATTTGTCTCTTGACGGCTTGACCTAATAGAAGAGCGAGAGTAAGAAGCAAAAATCAAAAAATGATCAAAAGTAGAGTCATTTGCGCGTTGATCAAATTAATATGACTTAATCACCAGTATTAACGGGTATATCTACAATAATATGAATTCGATTTTCTGGCGGTGTTGTTATAGTAGTATCAATCTTTTTTGTTTCAACCATTAAAGTTACATTGTCGTTATCCTCAAGCGTAAATTTTTTTTTAGCTTAATGATTTCTCCAGGAACAGGATTATTAAGTTTCCATAGGTTGATTTCAAAAGTCTCGATTGTTTCAAAGACATTCGAATTTGCGTTCTTGATGAACTCCTTGATATCGGAAACATTATTACTCCTACCAAGAGTAATATTGAAAGGATTTCCTATTCTCGAACAATGCAATAAAGTGATATAATGTAGGAATTCCAGGAATGACAACTGCGGTCATTTAATTGAATTATTTTTTTTTTTTTTTTACGTTTTTATAGAAACTATTTCGAGGTCGTCGGTCATGTGTTGATCAACAATTAGAATAAAGTCAAATCATGAAGTAAATAAGCTACTTTATATAAACTTTCTTCCTTGTGATATTATATAATTCAATTTGTCGTCAAACATAGTGGTTTTGATCCTACAAGAAAATCAACCAAAAGGAGATTATTTTCATGAAAAATTTTATGACAAGTTAAAGCAAATAGTTGGAGAAGAAATAGAATGTTATCGGTGCCCTTGCTCACGAATACAGGTGCATGTAGCACAAGATTTTTTATGACTTCGGATATATATCCGGTTTCCCGGTTCAGATTCAAACATGAGTTTAGATGTCAAATATCTCTTTTTGCTTCAAATTTCGTAAATTATTATTTTTTTTTTTATGAAAAGGTAAAATAAAAGTGTGTAATGCAGCGCCGAATAATTTGGGATAACAAGTTTGGTTTGTTATTGAAAATTACTGAATTTTGTGTAACAAAGTAAATTTCCAAATGTTCATTATTATTACTTTTTGACGGAATATGTCAAAAGGAAGTCGATAACCCGGTTATGGGTGGATTGTTAATATCGATATTATAAGAAACGTTATATACATGTTTAGTAGATCTTTACTCTTCTTTAAATTTAACTTTTATTATAACTATTAAGTTTTCATAAAATCGGTTGATTGAAATAAAAAGGTGATTATTCGCTTTATATTTAAAATAACAAGAAAATTATTAACCATTTGAAAAATTTAACGTTATGTTTTGGCAATTCGAGGACATTAAAATCATTGCTTTATGACTCAAATCCACAGCAAGACACACTTATAAGGGAGTTCGTTTTGTAATGCAAGAGATAATAAAGATACATTTATTTGTATCAAAACTTGCTTTTTTCAGATCCCATTATATTAGATACATTTTATATTCTATCGATATTAACTTTGCTTTCGTTAATAAAAATAATAAAGATAATAAAGATACAGTTATAAATAGAAGTATTAATTATATAAAAGATAATAATTATAATAATAATATAAGCTATTGCTATTACGTCATCATTGTCCACTTGTTCCACTTTGTTCGATTTATGAAATTCGTCAACTTCGGATAAACTTTTCTCTGTAAGCTGAAACCTATCGCAATTCCATCAGGAAATTTCAGCAGATAATATTTTCTAATAATATATCTCCATTTAAAATAATCAATTCCTTTTGAATTTAATCGAACTGATACAGTATTTTAAAAAAATCAGCAGCTAATAAATACAAATTAAGTTCAATGAATATAAAGTTGCTAGAATATAAAGCTAGCAGGTCAAATTCTCTAAATGCACCCACCCTAAAGGCACAAACTATGTAGTTTCTCTAAATGCACGCTCTCGTTCAGTACAAAGCATATATAAAGAACATATAGTAAATTTCTCTTTAAATGCACACCTATTTTAAAAGCACATTTTCACTATGGTCCAAATGGGATACGTATAGAGGATGAATTTAGAGAGATTTGACTATAGTGTACAAATACAGAATTAAGAAACAACGATGCCAGAAATGGTTATGAAAAAAAAGGTGATCCAATATGAACTAGATGAATGGTTCCTTTTAATTATTTTCACAAAAAAAATTATTTGAGTATGTTGACAAACTTGGGAAGCTTAGTTTCTTATAAGAAATTTTTGGGTTTTTAATTATTTTATACATGTTTAGCATAAAAGTAATCATCTAATACGCACATATATTCAAATTTATAAGGTAACAGTTATAATTGCAACTAAAATCATACGTTTTCCGTTCTTTCTGAATGTATTTGTCATACAATGAAATTTAAAATGATTTTTGTTTATTTATTTTTTTTGAATTACAAACTATAATGAACTGTAACATTTCTTTTTTTAGTTGCACTTTTGCTAAAAAGTATACAAATGAAGTATCGCTTTACGGATGGCGAAGATACGATAAAATCTTAATTTCAGTATCATCATTTTGGAAAACGTCTGCAAATTAAACAATCTTAACTTTGACGATCATTCGGACAAGAAAATTTTAAACAATGGAATTTATTTTTTACACCTATTTTTCTTTTTACGAAACGTTGCAAAAAAAAAATTACCATTAATTTGCGAAGTATTTTCGTTTTTTTCTTTTTTTAAAATAACATAATTATAAGTATTAATGTTTTCTGAATTCAAACAGTTACGGCCATACACAGTGAAAAGCACCGGAACCCGTCCGATCTCCGAAGTTAAGCCACTGATGGCCCAGTCAGTACTACGGTTGGGGACAACGTGGGAATACTGGGTGCTGTAACTTTTTTTTTTAAAAAAAATTTAAGAATTTGCGGAAAATTCATTCTCCTTACTTAATTAAAATATTTATTAATATGGTTTAAGTTTGTCAGAGCAGAATCATTAAAAGAATTATATAAATTTTTCTGCACCTTTTAAAATTTAAGTAGTTTTAATTAACATAAATATTTGTGTTTAAAATCTTTTTTTGTCTCAAATATTTTTAACAGAATTCTTATTATCACGAATTTTCGTATCTTTATGATTTTGTTTTTGTTTTATTTGTCTTGGTAAATCATTTTTTAAAACTGCAATACTAATTTTATGGGCACAAGTAAAAACTTTACAAATAAAAAATTTCAAAATTATAGAGATAATTCAAAAATATGCGTAAAGAATAATTCTTTACAGGGTCATTAATTCGTACTAATATTCTGGAGTCATCTTACACGATCGTGAAACCCGAATCGATTATTGGACTGCAGGGTAAATTTGATCACATTCATTCCAACCAATTTATTTCCAACAAACCCTTCTTATCCAAATTGACACGTAAATGCCGTTTTGAACACATCCTCAAGATTTGTGACGCTCCCCATCATCTCTCGACTTTCCATTTCTTGTATCTCGTGACTAAATAAATTAATCAATAATGATTTTTAACGTTTGTATATTTTTTTTTTGCGCGAAATATCGAAACTAAGTGACTCCGCTGAATTTGTGGTTAAATTTCTAATGTACGAAACCAACAACCTTTTAGTTGATTAATACTTCTGATGAGAATGACTTTTTTAATAAACAAAACACGTTGGTTGAAGTTTGATTTGGAAATTTTGTTTTTCTCTACGAACATGCGAGCAACAATCTCAAGCAATATTATGTATGTAAAAAAAATTATTGTAATAAACGCGAAGACTGATTTTGTCAAAACTTGAGAGAGGAAATAAATAAACCAGAACTGTTTACACGTACATTTTTATTCAGAAATCACATGGCCAGAAATGACGTCATTTTAATTTTTGAAATTTTTGGCTTCGTCATCAATTCCATTTAAAGCAGCGAAGTTATTCACGTGATAAGTAATAATTATTTCAATGATTTTCACGGCTGCGTCGTGAAAATCCTGATATTTCATAGTGACTCCGTGAAATAATTGTTTTTTTCCTACCAACTTTTTATTTATTTTTTTTTTTACAATTTTTTTTTATATTTTTTATCTTTCTTTTTCACTTTAATATCACGGGTAAAAAAAAATAAAAAAATCCCATTTCATCTAACAAACCCTTTCCAAATTTTCAAACAGCAGCTAACTTAATCTCTAAGAACATTACTACAAATAATTTCCAAGACATTGTTCAAGAAAAGACAAGACTTCATATTATCACGAAAAAGCAAAAGTTAAAAATACTGAAAAATCTACTAAAACTAGATGACCAATTTGAAGAACTTCGTGCTAATGCTAGTTATTTTGTTTCTTTAATGGATATTAATAACATCTCTCGGCTTCAAAAACAAATTGTAGAATAGAATATGACTCTACAATGAAAAAAAATGATGGTAAGTTTTATGCTTATTTATAGATAATTACTCTTTCAAATTTTCGAAAAAATCAACAAATTTTCACATTTAGTGCAAGTGTTAGAATGTATTTCTTGATAATCAAAAAGTATATTGAAGATAATGTAATAAATAAGTACTGCAACTCTATTTTGCATCACATTCAATTATTTTGGATAAATCTTTTCTAAGATAACGTCATATACTTTGAGCTTCAATAATTAATTTATTCAATTATATAAAATAAAAAATAATGAGTATATTAGAAAAAATTCTATCAATTACTTAAAATTAAGATTTTACTTGAAGTACCAGATATAATATTGATATTAATTAATTCTTCAATATTTGTAAATACTTGATATCTATATTCATTACATTCTGAACAGAGTCTACTTTATATACAAAGCATTTATCATCTAATCTCATCATAAAAGACATCTTTTGCATTTCATTAGAAGATTTTTTATTGAACTTTTATATAATATTTATTTATAATCTTATAAGTAAAAAACAGTTAATCTATTTACATTGTCAGTTTTATAAAAACTTATGATAATGTGCTCTAGTAGGGCAAAAAATGAGAGTTCTAGAGTCAAAAATCTGAAATTATATTCAGAAAGGTTCCCAATCATATTTTCAAAGCCTTCTAGCTACAAGAATCCTCTATTGAATTTAAAACTCTAGCCCAAATTTAAGCTTTTTCTACTATCCAAATATTTGGTATCAATTTGGTATTAAATTACTCCACAGAATACCAATAATAAAACAATCTCTTATAGCCTTTCTAGCCCAATTTTAATCCTAAATAATATATCAAAAAATATACCATTCTGTTTGAGTTTGAGGCAATGCAAGATTGGC